AAAAAAAAAAACCAAATCAAGATCAAAAATAAAAAAAAAGTTCAGACTTGGAAATTGTTTAAAATCAAATTTCTCAATTTAATTCGATGAGGAAAATTTGAAAAATGAATAAATAAATGAAATTCGAAGGGATATATTCAACGACTAGATGAAAATTTATTTTCACATATAACATTTTCTACATGAAAAATACTTTAAAATTTGGTTATAAATATACTTTAAGCTTTATACTTTTTATACTTTAAACTTTGGTTACAAATATAAGAAAAAAACATTTCAAAAATTGAGCGAACAAAGGGGCCCATTATTGAAAAAAATGTTGAAAGTTGAGAAAAATAGAGAACAGTATTTCCATTTGTGTATATTAATAGTTATATTCGTGCAATTATTGAAATGCAGTGTGGCGACATCATTGGCAGTCAATTACCTCAATGCTTCAGATACGTTGATATTTTCTTTCCCTTCAATTGTTATTGGATTTCCTGGAGAATGAAGATTAATGCATTTTGACAATGATGCTTTTGGTTTGGTGAAAATTACAGTGTCTTTTTGTGGGGACAATGGAGTTTGTGTTTGAAAATGGTCAAACTTGGAGTTGTCGTCAGGTTTGGAAAGCTCAGCATGTTTCGTACCCAGGATGGCCCTTGTTATCGTAGCACTTGTCTTTTTTTTGTTGTATTGGGATTTACCCACATATTGTTGAGCAATTTTGTCGGAGTTCCAGCCTCCAAGCTCTTTTAATCCTAACACTGTGCTACCTGCGTTTGCGTATATTGTAGCAGCGGTCCTCCGAAGAGCATGGCCAGTATAGGCACTTGGATTTGGAAGGTGCAGGAATTCAGCAATTTTCTTGGGGATGCTGCCGAGATTATTAATGCCCATGGGTGAATTAATACATTTACCATCCCGAAAAATTAAAAAAATTTCATTCAATGTGCAATCTGAAGGCCTTGTGTCAATATACTTTTTGACCACATGGTAGAATGGTTGCACGACCGAGAAAGATCTGTCCTTGCTATTTTTGACTTCTGTTTTTGGCCAAGAAATGTGATAGTAATTACCAAAATCTTGCAACCTATTCATTGTCATCTCATGTAGCTCATGAAGTCGACATGCCCCGTTGATACCAAAAATTAGTGCTACCTGTAATTGAAAAATGAGAAAAACATAACATTTGCACCTTGACTTGATTGAATGTAGTTGTGAATTTGATTATTTTGTTTAATATCACTAACCTTGAGTGGGAAATACTGATCATCTGGAGCGAAAGTAATGAATTGACGACATTCTTCTTCTGTTGATTCCTTGGATTTTTTTGATTCGTGTCATTTTCCGTTTTGCTTTAGGAAATTTAATAACTGAGAGTACGTGTAAATGTTGATGTTATTGTAGGCTATAAGCGTACTTTTCAGCATTGAATAGGTTGCCCATAGAGAGGAAGGCGCATATTTCTTCTGAAGATTCCCGAAATAAGGCATGAGAACTGTTTCAGTCAGTTTTTTTATATTATTTTCTTTCATCCACTTCATGAAATGTTCGTAGACAGTATTGTATTTATCAACCGATTTTTCGGGGATCAATTTATTCCTCACTTCTTGTGCTGATTTCGAAATTTCTGGTGGAAGATTTTCATCATTCCAGTTGTTATTTTCATCATTTTTATCATCCAGACACAGCTTTTTATTTGGCGGAGAACCGACGGTTGCTTCGGTGAGGAATGTCGAATCTCCATCAAATAAATCTCCCGAGAGATCAATCTCCTCGTCACTGTCGGGTATGATGTGGTTGTCCATTTAATTTCACTGCTTTTATTTTTTTTACCGAATAAATTTAACACCAGAATATTGAGAGCGTTATGCTGATACCAGCAAGTGAGGCAGTGGGCGATGTTATGAGTCGATGCGCGAGTCGATGCGCAACGGATGTGTGGAATCCAACGATGATATTGCAACGACCATTTGCGTATCGATCTGCGCATCGATCCGTGCATTTGCGCATGTCCATGGGTTACGCACAGATGATTACACAGATGTGTAGGGTTCCACACTACAGTGTGTGAAACCCGGCACTTTCTGTGCGTCGACACTCAACTGAAACCGGCCGGGTTTCACGCACGTATGGTATAAATTTTCAAAAATTCATAACTTTTGAATGGCGCATCCGATTGGAACAAATAAAAAAAGAAAATTTTTATTTTCGTTCATACTTCCAGGAAAAAAATATTCCATAGGCGTGAAGAAGCTTGTACACATAAATTTCGATGATTTTTTACGTTTTTTTGTCGGCTCTAGGGCCGTCCGTTATTCGACTGTAGTATTTTTTTATCATAGAGGACGTTCATATATGATGTAAAAAAAATAAGCCATCATGGGAGAGACAACCAGTGTACCGGAGAAAATTTTTGTTTCCTCAATTTTCGTGTTTTTACGCCTTCCAGGAGAGCTGCCTTGTTTTTATTGAGAAATTCATATTTCAATCCATACCTTTGATGAATATGAGTTAGAAAAGAGATGCGTTATGATGGAAAAGAGAAACAATGCATCGGGAAAAAAATTTTCTTCAAAATTTTTGCGTCTTTTCGCTTTCTATGAGAGCTATACTGTGTCACATCATTGGAAGTTCGCCTAATCATGACCAAAATAATGAGAATAGAAAACAAAAAGAATCAATTCATTGATTTAATATCATCAGTTTTTCCTGAGGCTCTAGTTTTAGTGAAAACTTCAACTTCCTCATTGAGTTTTCATCCTTGTACAATTCCTTGAGAATCGATTCGCAACAAGCGGACAATGTATCTGAATTCTCCAGTTCCCCCATGCATTCTGATACGGAATATGACCAAAGTGACACTGATTCTTCTTTATCAAAGCGCTATCGATCTTCGAGAGAAATCGAATTAGAAGAAATGCTGGATGGTTTGAAGAAAAAATTCAATGATCTGGAAAAGTACGGTGAGCGCTTGCAAATCTTGACGGTTCTTCCACAGTCGTGGAGCGAGCGGAAAATCGCTTCTGAATTTGGCATTACGAGATACATGGCGTCAAGAGCGAAAAAATTGAGAGAAATCAAAGGAGTATTTGCCTCACCAATTGCGAAAGCAGGCCATTCACTTCCAAAACAAACGGTCGAGAAAGTACACAAATTTTATCTAGAGAATAGTCGTGTCATGCCAGGGATGAAAGATAAAGTATCCGTCAAATGAATGGAGAGAAGAAGGTAGAGCAAAAGCAAATGATACTCGAAAATCTGAAACACCTTCATAGGAAGTACAAAAATACTCATTCAGAGGGTTTGGTTGGTTTCAGTAAGTTCGCTGAGCTGAGACCAAACCCATGTGTACTGGTGGGAGCAAATGGCACTCATGTCTTATGTGTTTGCACGTATCATCAAAATTGCAAATTGATGCTCGAAGTCATCAACATTGCCACTCTAACTAAAGATTCCCCCTGCCCACTCAAGGATTACAAAGATTATCTAGCACAACTTATGTGTACAAATCCAACCCCGGCCTGTTATCTGGATGAATGTAACGACTGCCCTGGTGTGAAAAAAACTGGGGTGTTGTCGAAACTGACCAATTTCTCATGTGGCAAACTACTGACAGGTGTACCTTGCAGACAAACCCTTGCGATGGTTGACTTCGTCGATCTTCTTGTCGAACGATTAAAAGTATTAAAACCCCATCACTTCATCGCTAAAGAACAAT